CAGTCCTTCAGGGAAGCACTTCCTCGCAGCGTGGACCTGCAAAGACATTCCTGCAAAGAATTCTGACCTTTGCAGCCTTTGTCATGCGTGACTTTGCATCACTGTGACGTCATATCTCTGTGACCTCTTGGCATTTACCAGTGTCTCCACTTTGGAAGCACACAGCCCCCTCCCCTCCTTCTGCAGATGTGTGAAGGAAGAACGAGGGTCTAAAATCCAGCCCCTTCCAAAGCTGTATCTGTTGTGCTGCAGAGCACTTGAAGGCAAATTGAGCTGAGAAATGGAAAGTACCTCCTCTGAAAAAAACATTTCACAGATCAGATCCTCTTTTTCCTCCCTCCTGGTAAGTGTGTGGGCCTTGCTGGCTCCAAATAGACCTCTGTTGCCCAAGAGCCCTCGAGTCAGCTGACAGACTCCCACCGAAATGGGGGGCTGCAGCAACACCAAGGGGACTAGCAGGGATAGAGCAGTTCTTGGCAGCTCTTAGCCATCACCAAACACTCAGCTCTTGACAAGCTGGGAAATGAACATGACAACAGGCAAACTGACTCGCCTGGCCCAGTATCTTGACCCCACTGTGGGCGCTCAGAGCAGAGTAAGTGCTGGGCAAGCATACACAATATACTTTTTTTTTTTTTTTAAATACTCCTCCAGACACTATTTTCAGCTCAGGATATTTTCTCAGGAGGAAAGAGAAGAGATTAAAGCCCAAACGTGTATGTGCAGGGTGACAGAAACGTACCCTGACATTGTATCAGAGCCAGGATCTGAAAGGCTGGTAGGCTGTGATTTACCATGGAGCTTCAGGGCAAGCACTGGACAAAGCGGTGTAGCCTAGTGCCGTGAAGATGTTCCAGTTTAGGCCGCTCTGGCTGAGTCTTCTGGCTCAGTAGTGCACCTTGACCTGGCTCACCTGGAGCCAGCCTGGGTTTTCTGCAGCATGTTTCGCCTGTGCCCCTATTCCCAAGGTGAGCAAAACTGTCACAAGTGTATCAGTAACCAGGACATGGTCTGTTTTCTCCTGGAGGGTGGAGATTTGGTAACAGTTGAATAAACAAATCTGCAAACGGCTGTTGGAGTCAGACCAGACACCTTACCTCCAAGAGTGGCTGCAAGCAGTTCCTTGTGATGGTAATACGTTGACCAGTATGCTCTTTCCCCATGTCTGGTAGCTGTAGCAAGAGCTACCAGACTTGCTGGTTCTTGTTGGGGCTTCTGTGCAGAAGCAGCAGGTGGGATCAAGATCATACAGACTAAAAAAAACCAAAAAATTGACCAACCCCCCCTTTTGTAAGCAGAACCAAAGAGGGTTCAAAAGCACGGGGCATGCAGATCTGAAAAGGTGCCCACCTTCAGAAGTCAGACCCGTTGCTAGTGATGTCTGTGCTCATGCACTTGAAGGTCTTGGATGCTGTCGGCAGCTAGTGGCTGGAGCAAGGAGGCTGTTCGCCCTTTGTGGGAACAGAGGGGCTTGGAAGGGAACCTAGGGCATCCTCTTCCTATGAAATAATTTGAAAATACAAGGTGCATGTGCATTAGATGCAAATTTGCATACCTTTTGGAAGTGACTAGTAGTGCTGCTCTCCAATGTCGCTAAATGTAATGGTGTTAATGCTCTCCAGCCTGGTATTTGTGCCAGTGCCCAGATCTAGTAAGTGCACCAGAGGCAGGAAAATTCACTCTCATTTCCCTTCAGTTTGTTACCAGGTTTAAAAAAAAGTCAGCTTCCCTGCTCCCTTTCTGTTAAAAGAGTTGGGCCTCAGTATTGACAGTGCGTTTCCTGAGCATCGCTGCCTGGATAGCCATTTGTCCATGGACTACCTTTTGACTTGAGGAGGTACATTATTGTTTGTTTGTTCTGCTGGGTGCAGAACTTTCTAATAACATTTACTCTCCTCGCCTGCTCTGCTGATTTTTTCCTTCCCTTAATTTCTCCTCTCTGGTTGTTTCTAATTAGCAGTTCTAACCTGCACCATACTTGCCTTTCATCCTTTGCTAGAAGTAGGCTTGGACTGGAATTAAATGGAATGATGTAGGCTTGGGGCTGCATTTTCTCACCATGGGAGTTAGGGTGCAGAGGCGACAAGAATTAAGAGCTGAAGGCAAACAGGTTGCTGATGTGATTTGTAAGCCTCAGGGTGGTGTCAACCCAGGCAGCAATTTGGAATCGGAAGAAAGGGATGCAGATGCAGGGGATAAAAAGGCCAGAGGAGGAGGAGGCAGAGGGCAAGCACCAGCCACTTGCCTTTCAGGTTGGGCCCCGAGCGTGAAGGGACTTGAATGCTGGCAGCTTAGAAAGAAAAGGTGGAACAAGCAAGCCTGGGACATGCTGGCAGCAGGGGATGCGTATGCCAGGGAGATGCCTTGTGTCAGACCACAGGTAGTTAGCACCGTGCTGAAAGCTGTTCTTGGGAGGCCTGGGCACCGAAGCAGAGATGCTTGAATTGAAGGTGCAACGGTAGCATGGGTAGCTGCGTCCACCCTTTCCTATGCTATGAGGGACAGGCCACCCTGCAGCTGCATAGCAGGGAACTGAGGGAGGCAGTGAAAGGTGGTGGGTGTTCAAGCGCTGCTTACCCAGACAAAGCTGAGACTGAGAGCAAAGACCCAGCCTCATGTTTCACGATTCATGAGGTGACATGCTGTCTAGCTTGGGAGGGTTTGAAGGTAGGACTTCCAGACCTGAGCCACAATGCCTTATGCTAAAAGAGCCTCTGCTCTGCATTTATCAGCTATTGGAGTCTCAGTCCCTGCACAGCAGAAATCTGGCAATAACTCACATCTGTGGTCATACCTATGCTTCTTGAGCCGAAGAAGCCGTTTTCATTACTCCAGCCACAGCAGCCATCTGGGAACCCAATCAATTCTTGTAAACAAAGCCAAGGTGGGACTGTAAACCTCTGTTTAGGGTTGCATTACCTAAAATAGTCAAGTGTACTTCTGATAACATTATTGGTCCCTGCTTGGAGATGGCTTGTGCAGCTGGACAGCTTCTTTTCTCCTGTTGTTAAGCCCAGGAGAGACCCTTACCCCACTCTCCTCCTCATCTGACTAACCCCCAGCTCTCTTCCTGCCTCTAGGAAACCACGAAGCTGCCCATTGACCAGAGTGAGTGGGAAGGCTATTTCGATGAGAGTGGCCACCTGGTGAAGTCCTGGGATTTTATTTCATCCAACATCCTTGACAGGGTAAGGAGATCTGAAACAATGAGAGTGATGGGTAGTGGAGGGTAACGTGTGTCATCCTCTTGCCTCGGGGAGCTCAGGTCTGGACTGAGCAGCAAGTCTGTGCTAGACAGCACAGGGAGATGGAGCAGGGACCTTCAAGCCACCTTCATTTTTCTCTCAGCACGATGCCCGGGTGGTGCCCACCGGTGAAAGCCAGCAGTTGCTTGTGGCTGCTGAGGGGAAAGGCTCCAGGAAACCAATAACACTCCTGGGAGCAGCACAGAGCTGTGAAACACTTCTGGCCTCTATGAACGTTCCCAACCTCCCACCTGGCTTCAGAGCAGGTTTGCCTGGGAAGGCAGCTGAAGGGTTAACGTCCCCTGGAAAGGTGGCGCTTTTTTTCCCCCCTGGTTTTCTAGACTATATAAGTTGTTGATCAAACAGCATCCTTCTGCCTAGCGATGCTGCACACTTATCCTCATTTGGCATTTCTTGCTTGCTTGCTTTCTTGCTTCTTCTTCTTTTCTTGCAGTTTACAAATTAGTCAGCTTTGCCCACTGAGGAAGAATTGATTTTTATCACAAAGCACTTTTTTTTTTTAAGCCTCTAAAAAAAGCTTTTCATTTCCATGAAAGGAGCCAGGAGAGCTCAGAGATGAACCCAGACAACCTGTCACACTTTTCGAGAGCTGTGAAAACACTCTGGTTTCCCATTGCCTGGGCTGGTAGTGAGAAATTTCACTATTTGTGCTTAAATGCAGCCACTTTGGTCTTGAACTGACCCTTGTGGATACAGCTGGGGCTGCGTGTAGTTCAGGTGATCTGGGATAACGTCTGGCCAGGCCATGCCTTGCCCTCTAATGACATGATGCCTGGCAGGGGCTGGGACCCCGTGGACATGCAGGACTGGTACGCTGCCTCCCGAGAAGTTTCGATGTTGGGAAAATGCTATTTGCTGTGTGGTGGAAAGTTGTGGTTTGTTTGAACATGTTTGTTTTGGAGTATCTTGGTGAAAATGCTTCTGAAATTATGACTGAGATAGAACAACTTTATTTAAAAAAAATATTGCAGCCATTTTCTGTTGAAACTTTTATTGTTTGTCAGGAAACCTTCCTGAAAACCCCACATACTGGCTGTTCACCAGTTTGTTTTTTAAGTGAGATGACAACGTGGAAACATTTCAACCACAATGCGAAGTTTCCTACTAATAAAATGGGAAAACCTAAAAGCACTTGTCCAAATAGCGTGATCTGGGCCAACACCATACAACCAGCTCCACAAAAGACTATCCAGATAAGAGCGCAAAAGATGCTCCCAAATGTACTGCTGGGGCTGTGGTCTCCTGTTGAGCCACCTGGTATGCCATGCTGGTGGCTGTCACCCTCCCAAGCTGCCTGTGCTGTCGTCCCCAGGGCCTGGACCCCTCCGTGAGGTCAGAAGCATGGAAGTTCCTCACCGGGTACTACCCCTGGAGCAGTTCACGAGACGAGAGGCTCGCGGTCGAAGGCATGAGGAGGTATGTCTGGCTGTCTGCCTGGCTGTCCACCTTTGTTAGCTGTTGGGTAGCACAGAGCTGCTTTCACATGCAGGTAGGTAATTTTCTGTTGAATGCTTATGTTACCCTATGAACGGATGCCAACCTCTCTGAGGTGTCTGTCTTTCACTTCAGGTTGGGGTGAAGGCAGATGTTTAGAGACTGAATTGATCTCTTGGTGTGCAAGGTGCCTTTGCTGGCTTGACATGCTCCTGGGGAAGTCCCGGGCCCTTCCCGGCCCTTTAGTTCCCAGAGCCCTGGGGGCAGATACTATTATTTTAGCCATTCCCTTTCATGCTTTTCCCACTCTGTTCTTAGAGGTTGGTGTTTGGAGACCTTTTTCCTCTGCTGCTGATCCAGAGCCATTTTGGGGTAACAAGTGGGAGACAGTGTAGCTGGTCCTACCAGTCCTTCCCAAACCAGAAAAGCTTACTGCAAAGCTTTAATGCAGCGGGTTTTGCTGTTTGCCACATGCCCAGGGAAACGGCTGGGCAATGTCCTTGCCTCCTGTGGTGGGCAGCCATGCATCCTCTTCTTGCAGGAAGAGTTATGAGTCCTTGGCCAAGATGTATGACAAGATACAGCCATTGCTGGAGACACAGTTCAGGGGTTTCTCTCAAGTCTGCAGTTTCATCAGTAAGTGCTTACTTGCTCCTCCCCTGTACAAGCACGAATGCTTGTGCATCTGCATGGTCTTCAGGCATATTATAGGTGCTGGATTTCTACCTGGTTTGAGCTAGATGATCCTTCTGCTGTGGTAGCTGGACCTGGTGGGAGAGAGCCCGGGGTGTGGGTGGCTCTGCCTTTGGAAGGAGGTGCAGGGCTGCAAACCTGCTCGCTAATACGCGTTCGCAGCTGCCCTGTGCAGGCAGACATGCTCACCTCGTGTCTGGCAGAGCTCCAATGCACATCATTATATTTCTGAATACCTAAAATTCTCCACAGCCATTCCAATTTGTGACATTTTTCTACCTCTTTTCTCATCCTGAGTTGCTGTATTTGACTGCTAGAGCTGGCACCTGCTACAACACTGCCTGGAGCCATCAGCTTTTCAGTGATGGGTCAAGTGACCCAGAGAGAGAGAATTACATATAGAAAGACAGGAGATAGAGATGTCATTAGAGGGAGGCTGGGAGTCTGGAGATCACCCCCAGGCCCATTTTTTGTGGATGAAAGGAGCTTACTTCAGTGAATAGTGTTATTATATTCAGATTCCCATTTAGGTTTCTCCAAGTTGTACAACAAAAGGAATATTAAATGATATTGCAAAATTTATGTTACAAATCAACGTAACCTGCATAAATCAATCCAGCAGAGGCAAGCAGGTAGGGTTTGGGGTTTTTTTCCTTCTTTTTTAAATGTCTTGCTGAGTTTGAGTTGCTTCTTCAGAAATGAAAGATGCTACATCCAGCTGGAGAAGACCTTAGAAAAATGTAATGCTTTCAGCCAAATATAGCTCCTTGCTCCCTTCCTTTTTTCCCCTCCTCTCCATGACTGGGTGAAGAAGAAATCACTCTCCACCTTTCTGTACAAAGTGGTCTGTTTAAAGAGCTGTTATGAGATTAGTCAAGCTTTTCAGAACTAAAACTTTTCATACGTGCAGGCAAATATGTAGACAAAACTTTGAGATAGAAGGGAAGCAGGGTAACAGAATTCTTGGACCGGGAAGAAATCTCTGGTGAAAAACAGAGCAAGAAAGCAGTCTCAGAGCCCTCTCGAGGGTTTCCAACCACATAAGGATATCACCTTTGAACAAAGAGGTCACTTTCAAACAAGTCTAGATTGCAAGAATGATTGCACCAGCTCAAAGTCCGTTGGCCCAGCTCTGTCCAGGCCACTTATTTTGCCTGTTAAGTTTTCTGCAAGGCCTTTATGCATGCAGGACTGATGGTGTGAAGCAGCCTGGCATGAATGTTTTGCTCCAGATGTGAAATTCAGGTGCTCATTTCTCCCTCCTGCCAGACTCGGACCTGCAGAGACTGTACACGAGAGATGCCCAAGGCCAAACCAGGGTGGACAAGAAGCAGATGGAAAAGATCCTTTTGCTGAGCTACGTATGCAACATGGAGGCTGGTGAGTATCTGGGGAGCATCTCATGTGTGGCCCCAGAGGAGTTTTTCCTGGGGAAGACCTTTTCCCAGCTGAGTTCAGGCCCCATGGTGAGTTAGCAAAGGGACACTGTGCTGGCCCTGCCTGAGCCCCTGGAGGATGTTCTTCACCCGCTCTTCTCTAGGTTTCTGGGGACTCCCCTTGCCTTTCTTTTCTTTGTTCCTCATAACTCGTTCTTGCCTGGACTGCGTCCTTGCTGCTGCCCTGCTGGGCTCTACCTGACCTCTCGCCCAGCCTGCTCTTGGCACGACCACCTGGCACTCCCCTAGTGCGCAGCTGGCAGTGCCAATCTCGGACTCTGCTGTTGGGTACATGCAAGTGCATATGTGTGTCCTCTCTCCTGGCAGAGTACCAACAAGGCTTTCGTGAGATGCTCCTGCTCTTCCATCTTCTAGCTGAGCAGGAACATGAGATCTACTGGCTCTTCCAGTTCTTCCTCCAGAAAACAGTAAGTTTCTGGGTGCTTCTTGCCTGGGTGAAACAGTCCAGACGGCAAAAGTCCCTAATCAATCCTGGCCTGACTTCCATGCCAGGAATTAGGCTCTCAGGAGAAAGCAGCCACCCATAGTCTTGAGCCTTCAGGCTCACCTCCGCACCCCCACCAGACACAATACCTTCTCCTGGCCACCGCAGAGTGACCGCTGGTTTGGGCTGACCCTCTTCATCCTTGCCATGTCAGACCCAGGAGTAGGGCCAGGCTCAGGGGGCGTTAGTGGGGATGGCACCATGGTGAGATTGCAGAGAGTAGTTCCGCAAAGTTCAGCTGAAGGAAAACACCCCTGCTGACTCTGGAGAGAGGCAGGCGGGAGGTTTCTGAGTTTTGTAGCTGCATACGCCCCCGGGTGAGCTCCCATCAGTGCCAGCATCTGCTGCCTGCCCCGAAAGACAATCCGCTCAGGATCCCCATGTGTCTTCAAGCAGCAGGCAGGCAGAGATTGTATCCAGGGGCTGCTTAGCATAAGGCAGATGAGTTCACCCGTAGGGGAATGAAGGGACACATGTAATCGATTACATTATCTGTGTGCCCTGTGTCTTGGGAGGGTAAAAGCCTGCCGCTGCCCCTGACTGTTAGAAGTGGGCATTGCTTAATCAGTAGCACCCTATCTTGCAATATTAGCTAGGCCTGGATTCAAACTCTGCTGGTGATCTCTACAGGGACTGGAGCCGTGGTAATGGGGGTAAATCCTCCATTAGCAGGCCTCTGTGCTTATGGGAAGGGTGAAGCTGGCTGCAGCTGTAAACGAGCTGGGCCATCTGATCTTCCCCTGCTCTGCGTTCCTGCTTTCTGTGTCCCCCAGGAGCACAGCTGTGTGATGAACATAGGTGTGGGGAAGAACTTGGTCATGCTGAAGGCATTGATTACATTTATGGATCCCACCTTTGCAAAACACCTGGGTAAGTCTCAAGCCTCCTCACTGCCCTCCAGCCCAGAGAAGATGCTCACATAGGCCAGGCAGCATCATTTAGAGAGGATGCCAGCAAAGGAAGGTAAATATTTGCACAGTGATAGGCTTCACCTACGCCTGCTGAATATGCTGAGAATGTAGGTCAGGGACGCTGAGCAGGGGTCACTCATCTTGGATCTCCTGAGACAACTGCCTGGGAGCAGTTTGAAAGACCTTAGCCCTGTGCACTCATTTTTCTGTATTTATCTCCCTTTCCTCTGTGAGTTGCATGAAGATGGAGCTGAGGCTACAGCCTTCGAGCATCTCCCTGAGCTCTCCCTCTGCCAAACTGTCCTTCCATTGGAAAGGGTGGGTCAGCCCGTCTTTGATTCATGCTGATGCTGCTACGGTGGAAAATGTCCCTTCTCCTCCAGGCTTCAGCACAGTCTTTCCACCACTCCCAGTGCCTTCTCTGGCTTACTATGAGGCATGTCTCCATTGGCTGGTGCCAACAGAGCCAAGCCTGTGCAACCCCATGTCAGCAGTGTGACAGGGCACAGAGCTGGTCGAGGCAGGGCAAGCCAGAAAGCCCAGGTGAGAGTGTGGTTTGGCCTCATCCAACCAGGAACAAATTTTGGCAGATGCATCTTGCAGCCTAAGCAACAATCAAATGAAGAAACCCAGCCTGCACGTGTGCTCCCTGCTCCACAGCCTAACTGCCTCTTTTTGCCTTCAAAGTCCAGCTTAGTTTCTGATCAGAGTTTGCTCTTCTCATCTTTCAGAAGGAAAAGGCACACAAGTTATTCAGTCGCTGTTCCCCTGGTTTTGCTTCTCCTTCCAGCGAGTGTTCAAATCCTTCTATGATGTCTGGAGGCTCTGGGAGGTGAGTGCTTTTTAATGACAAGTGTCTGCTTCTTTGAGGGTTGTTGCTCTTTTGGAAAAGTAGACATACCCGTAAACCAAGCCACTGCTACACGGGAATGCTGCTTCTGCAATGCTCAGTGTGTTTTTGGTCACTTGCCCCTCATCCTCTTTTGGTTGCTGCTACTCTACGATGTTTCCCTGGGTGCAGGGTGGTCAAGTTGCCCCATGTCCGGAAGGGAAAACAGTGGTGTGTTGCAGGGCTGGTGTCCTGCCGTGAGTCCTGAGGATGGTGTAATGGACAACAGAGGGCAGAGTCTTGGGTGGCTTTCAGCTTCCAGCAGGCCCTGTAGAGAGGTTCAGATACTTGGGGAACACCTGGGACGATGAGGATTGTTGTGATTCATATGCTACTGTAGTGCTTTGGCCAGGTATGTTGCCCTTAACAGATAAACAGCCACTGGATCCAAACTCTTCAAAGCTAGAAGATATCTAATTCTCTATTCCTAGCAGAGAATCTTGAAGGGCCTGGGTTTGGTATGAGATCTGTAGCACTTAAATGCCTTTTAATCCAAATTTAGGTGGACTTTAGCTCCCATAACCCCAAAGAGTTGTTGTTACCACCTTCCTCAGCCATGTCTCAGAGCATCTGCAGCCAACCAGCGCTTTCTTTTCTGAGCGTGTGATAAAGATCCTGCTCTTAATCATCCTCCTGAGCTCAGGGGCATCGCTTTGAGTGTGGCAGTACCTTGCTCAGGTGGCTGAAAACTTATTGCTAGAGCTCCCAGTGGTTTACAAAGCAGGCACCAGCCCAAGCAGAGAAACCTCAGCACTGTCACTGAGCCCTTCAGCGAGATCTTCTAAGCCCTGATGCAGTGCTCTTTGCCAGCCTAAACGGCTTTGTTGCAGGCTGTGGGGCAGCGCGATCTGCACCTACATGCAGCTGGCCCTGGCAGCGCCCTCCCTATCTAGATGTGGCTCTGGCATCCACAGTGGGACTCCAGGAAGGAGAGAGGCAGCTGGAGCAGCAGGATACCTCACCCTTCCTGCACAAGCTTCTCTCTTTGCATCTCATTTCTCAGCCTTTCTCCCTGGTGGCTTTGATTATCTCAATTAATATTTGCACAGACTCTCTTTTTGCGCTCACCCCTCTTGATGAAGTCTGTGCGGCAAGTGTTGGTTCTAATTATTCTCTGTCTGGGCTGCGAGACCTCGGGGCTGTGGGAGCAGAGCCCTGTTGGGGCAGGGAGGAAGCAGAGAAATCCTGGAGACAAGAGCAGGTCTTTGAAACTGGCTGTAAACCGCCTTTGCCCTAGGGCGGCAGGGTGGGCTACATACGTCAGCACAGCCTGGCTGGTCCCAGGTCTGTTTTGAGGGTGTCCACATACATGCTTATTCAGAGAGTGATTCTGACGTGCATTCAGTTAAAATATCTCTGCCTCAATACTTTTTCTCTGCCTCCTACTTTTCCTACCTCCCTGGCTGGGGAAGGCTCTTGCACAGAGCTAGCTGGGTCAGGCTTTCCATTTAGATGTAAGCTGAGTTCTGTAAAATAGCTGATGTGCAGCTAGGGCAGTTCTGAGCTTTTCAGGCCTCCAGGACTCCTCCTTCCTCAGAGTCTGTGCTTAAGCATCTTGGAGCACAGAGAGCTCCATAGAAAAAAACAAACAAACAAAACAGCCCTCACCTGACAAGAAGATTAACTGTGGAACTCCTTGCTGCAGGATTTTGAGGATGCGAAATGTCAGCAGGGTTCAGAGAGAAACTTGGCAGGCTGATGGCAGAGACACCCCTTCAGAGGCTTCCATGGCTCAGGAAGTCCTTGTAAATTATTGGTGACTAGGAGGTATCCAGAGCAAGTATTGTTCATGCCTGCCTGGACTGTTACCCTTCCCTGCACACCTGCTTTCAGTGAACCTCAGGAACGGAATATAGGGCTACATGTAGCTCATTTACTACATCTGCTCCTATGTTTTTATGGCAAAGGCATCCCCCAGACACCTCCCTCTCTCTGGGGTCCCAAGTGCACCAGGTTTGACCTGTCTGCACTGGCTGTAGCCCTCCCTCGGATCATTGCAACCTCTTCTGGACCGGTAACAATCGTAACTCCCTCCCCCAGCACCCAGGGACCTCCTCCCTGTATTTGGGGTCCTTTGAGTCAAAATTGTCAGGAGGAACATCAAGGAGTTTGGGTTGCTGCTTTATTATTTTTTTAGCCTATCAGTGAATTTAGTGGCTAGTATGAGAGGCTCTGGTTATCCTGGCTTGGAGATTTTGCCCATAGGCTTCCCTGATAGATTTTTTTTCCCCTCCCCGCCCTCCTCTCCCATCTGTTCCCCCAAGGTTTTCCTGACAGGGAAGCCCTGCCGAAATTTCCAGGTGATTGTGGCCTATACACTGCTGCAGACAGTGAGAGACCAGATCCTGCGGGAGAACATGGCTGGAGATGACATCCTGATGGTGAGCATGTGTGCGGGGAGCCTGCTGCAGAGAGTTCACCGCCATCCCTCTGCCCTGCAAGGGGAAGGGCATCCCATCCCGCTGCATCACAGCTGTCTGGGGCTGTACTTGGCCCCCTAGCTGCTAGGGCTCAGGAGAAGCTGCTTATTGGTCTTAACAGCAGCCAAAATGAGGAAACAAGGAAAGTGACTTGAAAGGAAAAAGCTCAATTTGATCATAAATGCAGACAAGGACTTATTTGGGATCATAGTGTAGAGGGAACAGGCTGTCTCTGATTCCCAGCTTTCCTTCTCTCAGCTTCTCTTCCCCGTTTAGCCCTGCACTGCTGGGCTGCTGCCCTGGCACTGTTGCACCCAGCAGTGAGAGCTTTTTGCCGGGATGCAAAAGCCTTCTGGGGTGATGGGGTGAGCCAGGCACCCCAGGATAGCTTGTGATGCAGGTACACAGGGGCTGGTGGAAAGAGTTTCCCACATCTGCAGGTCCAGCCTTTGCGTACCTAGCCTCCAAGCAGAGTGTTTCAGTAATCTAGCATGCCTGTAAAAATGACTTTATTTTCCTAAGAGAAGAGTGAGAAAATTCAGGAGAATGGACGGCCGGGTACTTTAAGATTTTAAGTATTAGGAAGGGGAAGGAACTTTGACAAGGCAAAGGAGGCTCTGGTCTCTAACAATGATTAGTCAGATGGAAGTATGCAAAGGGAACCCTGCTATTCAGCTGTGGGCAGCTATGCCTTTCTCTCCCTTAGGAAGCACCAGAGCGGGACAAGAAAAGGGAGCTAGGACTACACCTAGGTTTTCTGAGTCCTGTGCTTTGGCCTCACAGTGGTCAAGGAGAGGGAATGCGAGGGAAGAGGCAACAAGGGGAGAACACATAGAGATGCTCAGGAAAGAGGAGGAGAATTGGACTGAAAATCCAACATGAAATCTGGGACTCCCATCCTCCACCTCTCTCTGATACCTCCTCCCCTGAGCAGACACATGAGACCTCTCTGATTTTTCTCCATCTCTTCCCCTGGCCAGCTCTGTGGGAACCTCATAGACCTGGACGCTGACCAGCTGATCTCTGAAGCCTGCTCCACCTACAACCGCCTCCTGAAACATGCAGCCAAGGTAAGGGGCAGGGCCTCCCCAGGGAGGCAGCTGGGGATGGCCCTTGCAGGGCTGAAGGGAAAAGGCCATCATGTCATGATTTCAACTGATCTTCCTCAGGTGCCGACTGCACTGATGGAGTTCTTCACCCAGGCAAGGAAATAGAAGAAGCAGGAGGCAGGCTGGTTGGGTTGCAATAAACATATGCATGCAAGCTGGTGTGGTTTGAAGGGGGAGAAGAGGGAAAAGGGAGTTTATCCTGGCTTTTTGGGCTCTGCTGTTGAAATGCACTAATCAGGAGACTGGCTCTGACCTCATGGCCCAGAGCGGTTTGTATGGATCTTGTGGCCAAGACTAAAATCCCTGGCCATCAGCATCCAGCTTTGATCCTGCTGTCCTGTTCCAGCTTTTACCAAGCTGATAACATCCCAGCCCAAGATAGGGTATCATCCCTACCTGCAGCATTAGTAGTAGGATGAAGAGAAGCAGAAAGGCAAAGGGTCCGTTTGGAGACAAGATCTTCCCAGCTCCTCTTTCCTCCTGGCAGGGCCTAGGCAGAAGGACAGTCCTTCCCAGATATGAAATCACCTGGTCCCCAGTCATTCATAGTGGGGGATCTGGGTATGTTTTAAGGCTAGCTGGCACCTGCTCAGATCATGTTAACGTCCCAGCTTCTGTGTTAATGAAGCCCCAAGGCTGACATCAGATATCTCATCTTTCAGCATGGGAGAGCCCATGGCTTGCTCATGTGCCACTGGTTTGATGAACCAGACTGTGCTGGGGGAGGCACTAATTTGGCCACGGGTGTGGAAATTGCCATCCGGTGGAGCTCCTTGGATGGTCCCTGTGGGTGAGCATCCAGGCCCTGCTTGGCGGTCCATCTCTAGCCCAGCTCCAGCACATCAGTGAGGCTTCAGCTCTTTGCAGTGAGTACGGAGCTGGCTGCAGGGGAGGAGGAAGAAGTTACCAGCTGTGTGTGGTTTAGTCTCAGCTTTGGCAGAGGAGGAGATCTGTGGCGAAGAGGGGAGGCAGAAAGTAAACATCTCCCTGCACTGCACTTTCCCTCTGCCCTGGCTTCCTCCCTCCCTCAGTTACTTTCCTTTCAATTGGAAAGAGCCAGAAGGGCCAATATTTCCTGGCACCTGGCTAGTTAAGGACAAAATAAATAAGCACGAGGAGGAAAATTGTGACTGAAACGGAGCACAGCTACCCACTGAACTGTGGCATGTTCGAAGTGACCTTGACAGATGCTGGGGAACCTGCAGGTGACACTCATCAGACATGACAGGAAAGCCGAGAACAGGCTGTTTGAGAGGCTGTGGCACGACTCAAGATGCTGCGAGAGTCACAAGAGCTTCAAACGCACGGTGTGTCCCCTTGATCCTGCAAAACGCGTCTCCCTGCAGAACGGGCTGGTTACCAGGGGGTCTTGGGACCCTGTAGCATTTCTGTTATGGGCAGTTTGGCTGCTGCTTTAGATGTAGAAAGGAAGATACTGGTCACAGGAAGGATCTCTGTGTGTCTCTGTTTCCTGTGGGTGGTTTTGTGCTCTGCTTGCCTTGACTCTCCTAACTCCCTTCAGGGCTGCTGCCATGTCACTTCCCACCTTGGCTGAAGTCACTCCTTCATCAGGACATCTCTGCTGGTGGCTGTCGGTGGCACTCAGCCAGCAGCTCTGGCTCCAGAGGAAAAGCCACCCCTGTCCCAGCCCGTGGTGAGGAGAGATGCAGACACCTAACACCTTCCTCCCAGGCTGACCACAAAAGCAGGACCTGTAATGGGTTGCCTTGGAGGTGCTGGTATCTTCCTTTATAACCAAACTGTCTCCAGTTCAGGACCTGTTTCCTTCATGCCCAGTCTCATCTTTCTCTCCAGGCTCTTGACTCCTTGGCTTATCCCCACTAAGTAGACTGTCCCAGGAGAATCCTGGGAATTGCCTCTGTGGTGCCCTGGTGCCTCTGTCCTCTGAGCCATCAGACCATGCTTACACCAAGGCTCTGGGGTGCAGTCAAAGGCCTCACTATGCCTGTAGCTCCACAGCTGCCAAGAGTTGCCACCCCTTTTTTACAGATGGGATACTGAGGCAAACAGAGACAACTCAACTTACTTGGGGGTAGGAAAGGGTAGTATCACTGCCTGTGAGCACAGGACTGGGTGAGGTCCTCAGACAGCCCCTTGGCCATGAGATTGCTTTCCCTAGGTGGAAATCAAATCACTATGTCAGTGGGTCAGAAGGTGGAGGAAAACTCAGACCTCCATGGCTGGTACCTGGATTGTTACTGAGCACTGCAGTCGGGACACTTGTGGAGCATCTTTAGACCCATGAGTTTTTTTCTTCTCCCTCTACTCAGAATGCATCTCTTGGCCACCAAACTGATGCAGCCAGCACACCTTTCTTCCTCACTTTTTTCCAAGGGGTACAGAGATGATTGCTCTTGGAGTGCTGGCTGCGTGTTGTGTCACAGTCAAATGTTATACATCACCAGCTGAACAGCAGGGAGCTCTTCAGTCCTTTGCCAAGTTTGGAGACTTTGTCATTTCCCCAGAAAGACAAAAGCCACAGAAGGGTCATAAATCTCAGTGAGGGTTAGAGAAGGAGAAGAAAGAGACTCCAACTACCATGAGGAATTCATTCATCCTCACCCGGGTTGGCAGGTGGAGCAGAAAATCTGTCGATATATTCAAGGCCCTAATAAGTTTCAAAGCGTCCAGTGGATATTAATACAGAGCTGTAGCTTACCTTCTCTGCTGAATGGCTTTTATCACTCCAGACACTTTTGCTGACACTGAGCTATTTGTTTTGCAATAGATGCTCCCTGGGCAGGGATCAGGGGAGGCTGAGCTAATGCCGCCTGACATACTTCATTTAGGAGATAAGAAGAGCTGGTGAGAGGAGAAGAAAGGTGGAAAGGACTCCAGGGATGAAAGCCTTCTTGTGCTTCTCTGGGAAGGGGGAGCCTGTGAGCACAGTTTGAAGGACCCTGATGAGCTTTGGGGAAAGCCACCAAGGAGCATGTGCGAAACAGCCCCCGGCTCTGGGTGTCCTAGTTCTGCTCGATTCTTCCCAGACCAAGCTGAGGGCTGTCTCCTGGGATTATGGTGTTAACCAAAACACAGCTTTCTGCCTGGGGAAAATGGGAGGTGTCAGATAGCCTGTGCCCAGGGGCTGGTCTAGGACCGAATTCAGGGTAAGCATGGCCAGACCTGTGAAGTTCATATGGGGACCTGGCAGGGAAGTGACGATTCAGGCTGCGGTCTACTGATGCAGGAGGCGGCCTCCAGCTCGTCATTGGGGCTCACTGCTAAAAGCAGCAGCTCCTATTCTTTCACAAGGAAGAGCTCACAGAGGGCAGAGTTAAGGGTGTTTTGTTATTTGTTATTATTTCAAGACATTTTATGAAACAGAGCATGAAGGTGAAGAGCAGATGTCCCGCCTTTGTCTTAGTGGGACGTTGCAGCACATTTGCGCCTTCGTAATTTAAGTCCAATGTTGTTTTCCAGCTATTTTTGTGTGCAGGAGAGAATTTTAACAAGCTCTGTTTGTCTTTCCCCAAGAGGGATTGTTGGGCTGAACAATTTCCTGGATTTCTTTCTGGGGAGAGGAAACGGTTGGTTTACGGGAGGTCTGAGAATATAAAAAAAATGACAAACACAGAAGAGCATGAATTCTTAAAAGAAATCCTGAGAAAACCTGGCACTGAAATGGAGGAGGAAGAGGAGGGTGGCGAAGAGCAGGTGGAAAATTTTAGAAAATAGTTGTGCTGAGGATTTGGCCCTCTTTGAGCTCCTTACTGTGTAATGGCAAAGCTATTTGGTGCCTGCACATCGTCTTGGAGCAGGCATCTGGGCACACGACACAGCTGGACCACGAGCTCCGGGCGTTCTCGTTTGTGGGAGCACTTCGGACAAATAAAGGTTCCTATTCGAGGTGGATGGTGCATTCATAGCCTGTCTCAACTGAGCCTCGCAAAAGAAATTCATTGCTTTCGCTGAGCACGAGAAGAGATTTGGAAGGACGAGCATTACAATCAAAGTCAGTGCTGGCTTAGCTTTCAAAAGCACTTCTGCAAAATGAGGTACTTGAAAAATTCCTGGCGAGTTTGCCAGACCATTTCTCCCAAAATTAAACTTTTTGTTTGTTTGTTTTCTAATGGGAGATTTCAGAGAACCAATTTGGAAACAGAAGCAACACAGCAACATTCTTGCTGTTAGTTTGTTTCTCTGAGAAAATAAAACCTTCCTTTGTATTTTTTAAGTTCTCCCTCCCTTTTGCTGTTGGAAAAAGGAAAGGGGGGAGGGAAGCAGAAAATCTTTTAGCAGTGGAAAAACAAGGCAGTCCCTCCAAAAACTCAAAACAAATCTACATTTATTTATTTGTTTTTTCAATTTATTTCACCCAGTAGCTAAACACTGCAGAGAACTGAGGCCTGTTTTCCTAAACTTTGTAATTGCTCTAAAGTGGCTTTTTTTTTTCTTTTCCCCCCTTAACTAAAATTTGGATTTAATAGGATTTCAACAGGCTCTGTGCTTAGACGTGGCTTGTTTTTATGGCATGCCCTCATGGGTGATAGGGTGCTGTGGGAGGTGTTTTGCAGCCTGGGCTGGGTGGCCCAGGGTGCCGCGAGCTGTGATGGAGGTCTCCGACCATGCATGTCACCGGGTGGCACCCTCAGCCTGGGCAGGGGATGTGGGCAGTGGGGTGCAGGTAGGAGACGATGCTGGCAAAACCCCATATTGCTTGTAAACTGCCTTTTCAGTGGTGACAGCAACAGCAGAAAGGGGAGGATTTATTGTGTTTTGCTTGGCCCAGTGTTAATTACACTTTGGAGCAGCCACACTCTCACCTGAGAAACGTGGCGTTGATATATATGCATGTATTTGCTGCCTTATTCTTTGTGATGGTGCAATGTGCTGGGTGGCAGCTTCTGATTTATTCCGAACTGAATGAAGGATTGTTCTGAAATGAATTTGTTCGTATTAATTACGATGCGTCCCTGCTGAGATTTTTTAACAAGATTAGGCTTTCTGAGTGTCGCTACTTCCCTTCTCCTCCTACTCTTTCTTTTCCATTTCAAAGCACGTTGCATGCAGAGGGACTTTTTTCCCCGTGATGCTGGTAAGCAGGAACAGGCCGGAGACTCATGCACAAGAGCGGGCCAGAGGTG